AAAGGAAAAGAGAAGGGTGAAATGTTGGATGAATTGATGGGGAGGAAAATAGGAAAAGAAACTAGATGGGTTCAAGAGAGAAAAGTGAAAGAGGAAGGGAAAGATATAGGACAAAAAGGTTGGGAATAGGATAGAGAGAATACAGCATAGGTATTTGGATGAAGATGATGGAGGACAAAAAAAGTGGAGTTGGACAAAAATTATTTTTAAATAGGGTAAAAGAAAAGAAAAATAAAAGGGAAAAAAGAGCTGCAAATGGAAGAGAAGATGAAGGAAAGTAATGAAGAGATGTTATATGAAGTTTCTAATGTATTTCAATGGCGTTACAACATGACTGTGTAATTGAGATAAGCACTGAACATGTGATCAGGCATGGGATGGATTTTTATGTTCTTTTAAGTTGAACAGGGTCTGTAATTGTCATGTTGAAAATGTCTGCATACGTGAGTGCATGTTGTTTCGTGAGTAATAAAAAACATGCGTTCTATGCATAGTGTCGTCTGCTCTCAGAGATCACTAGACTGATACGATCTATGTGTCATAGATCACGGAACTCAAGCCAGTTTATTTCTTCCTGACTTTGTCAAACTGCAGCGGTCATGATGTACTTCAGATTAAATTCTGAATTTCAAACATGGTGAAGTATGACCATAAATATGCATGAATGGTGTGTATTTTGCATTGTTGCACATTATGCATTATACTGGTGCATATGAAATAATTAAAAGTGATGTTTTTACAAACGTACAAGGTGTACAGGAAATCTCTAGCTATCGATAAATATATGTTTACATGGTAATCTGTCTATGAATATACATGAATGGTATAAAGTTGCATCCAAAATGGCGTAACTCTCTGCACATGATGAGTTCACCGTAGGTTTATGCAGCAACGATTTCAATGCTCTTATCTCCTGCCATGTTGATCAACATAAAAATTGATTTTTGGTTTGTTTGAAAAACGAGTGAATCATGAGGTATTGAAAACATTTGAATAAAATTGATTTATAAAGATTGTAGAAATTAGACTGTGAAACCAGAAATTTTGAAGTGATGGTTAAGATAATGAAGGATGTGAATTGGTGAAGACATGAAAACACAAATTTTTGTGTAGTACATATGGAAACATGACATCATTCTCCAGGAATAATGATATTTGTTACATTCCTAAAACTTACATACCCTTCAGATATTTTGTAAATAGATTTTATGGTTAACTTAAAGTCAATATGATTTCAAGATTTAGATAAAGATCAAAACAAAGGTGAGAATCAAAGTAAATGTCAAAGTTACCTTAGATGAAGAAGATGCTTGTTAAGTTAAGGCCCCATGAATGGTGGATAGCGTTAATTTCTCTGCCAAGGTTAAGAGAGATTAAGTTAGGTAAGTCAAGGTTAAAATCAAAGCATTGAAAAATGATCAATGTGAAGGTTAGAGAAAATTGTTTATCAATAATGCCTTTGTAATCAATCATAATGTTATATGTTTTGTGATTGGTCGAAACCAAGTGTTAGAATAACAAAGCTACTACAAGTGGGAGGTAGAAAAATGCTTGGTTTGATTACATTTCTGGTGGAGGAAAACAAGAAATGTAGAGTCAAACGTTTAACAGTGTCAGTGGGAATGTTCTTCTAATTAATATATGGTATGGTTTGTGGGCTTTTTCTATGGGTTTATGACAGACTGGTATTTGAGATGAAAGTGATCTGTATTTGTGCTTGCCAGACAGAATCCTTGAGATGACATATGGAATTTCTTCGAAGATGTTTTAAGACCTATTCCTTAGTGATAGTCAGTCTGATCTTTACTGCGACTAGAGTGGGGAAGGGTTAGTGAAATAGTTTGAATCGCCTCCTCTTGCTCTTTTATTTCATGTCCAAGACTTTTCTCATTAGCTTACCATCATCAAGTAGTGGGCTATTTAAATTGCCCCACATCCATGTCTGTGGTCAATGGTCTTTCCTGTAAGCAATCCTTGTTATCCTATTTCTTTAGAAATGCTAAATGGATCTTCCTCTAATTTCATATGAAGGTTCCCTTGAACCTTGGTCCATAGCTGTGCCATTTTGATTTTGGAACTGATCAGGAAAACAAATGACTGACAGGCAGCCATCTTGAATTTTGACAATGAAAACTTGTTGTCACTGTTTCTTGGGAAATGCTTGATAGATCTTTCTCAGTTTCATATGTAGATTTCCCTTGGTTCCTAGTTGTGCCCCTCTAAGCTTTGGGACTTGTCAGAGAATTAGAATGGCTGACAGGAGGCCATCTTGGATATACTGTGTCAGGAACAATTTCACAGTTACACTGATAAATTTCATTGGTCTCCACCATTTCAGATTATTTCCCGTTCTAAATATACATGTATCTTTTGTCCATTTTCTGCTGTCAAAGTTATTTTACGATGGCATTTTTTAATTATTTGTTTTAACAACTTTTACAAGAATATGAAACCATTTAATGTGTCTATAAACATATATTTTGTTTGGCCTTTACATCAACAGCTTTATCTGATTATCATGGGCTTTTGATAGATATTGTTTTATTTTTTGGGAAGTCCTATCCTTTTATCATAATTGTAAACACATATCTTGTTTCCTTTTGCCTAATTTTACTATTTGATCAGAGAAGAAAAAACTGTTTGATATATTCCCAGGACTGTCTGACACAAATTGATTGTTGAAGCTTCTGTGACTTTGTAAATATTTACTAAGATGCCTGAGGAGACTTCACTTTGTGTGGCTCTGTTTTCTTTTAGCCATATGTGTTTCATGTGTCTACACTGTTTACATGGGTCCTGTCTGTAATGTTGCTGGCCTACCCTCAACTAAACACATATGGGCACTTAACATTGGCCCAGATGTTTTCAACTGATTGTAAAGCAAGCCTTAATGAACTGCAAATAATTGAGGAAACAGTTGTAGTATCTTCACAAGGGGCGGTCCTCTCTCACCATGAGAACTTGATTGGGGTATCTGTGTATTTGAGGTTGCAATAAATCCCAATCTTAATTGGGTCACCTGTTCATTTTTACTGCTGTATGTTATCTGTAATTTTTGCATCCTAGATGTGCAGATGCAATAATGAAAAAAAATTGTCAGTATCAAAAACATTAGAATGTTTGAGGCTTAAACGATTAAAATCATTATATTTTACAACAGAAAGTTAATATACACTTGACCATAAGTTTAGGATCACCCAATCTTAGATTCAATGTGCTTAGTTTTGTAAGCTGTATTTAAATAAAATATTCAATTACAACTCAACAGGATATATAGGAAAGTCTTTTTAAGCATCCAATGAAATTATTCACAGTAGGTAGGAAAAGAAATTTACAGAACCGGAAGTGCAGTATGATTTTAAAAACAAGTGCTAAAAAAGTCATCCAAAAGTCTAGGAAAAAGTCTTGACTTTAAACTGTCTCTTATTAACAGACACATCATCAAATCACGAATGTTACTGGACCAAGATGATGATAAGAAATCAAGGAGTTCTATTGGGTATGGATGCAGTCCATGATTCTCCAGTTGTCTGGCATTTTGGATCACATTCATTGACTTTTTTTCTGAGTTAGTCCAACACATGCACAACTCAGTTCATTTCTAGTGACAATGCAAGTCACTTCTTGTAGAAGATGGTTTTGCACTAGGTGAGCTCTTGGTGGCTTGGTATTGTCATCGATTAGGATAGGTCAAATTGCCAATGGATGGGCATGAAAATGCAGAACAACTGAAGATTGAAGGATCTGAGCACTGTAATTCTACCCATTTAAAGTTCCATCAAGGAATGCAAGCAAGGCTTACAGTTTTGGAGAAAAGAATTCCCAAACGGTAACACCACTACTACCCAATACTTTTGTGCCCAAAGTGTGATTTTGTTGGTATGCCATATTTCTTGGTCTAAACTTGGGACACTCGTCAGCACACCTGGTTTGGTTCAGACACAACATTTATCAGGAAAATAACAGAATTTCTGACATTAAAACATACAGCTTCTTGCTTGTGTGTCATACTACTTTTAACCATTCCAGCAACTTGTCATCTTTCAATATTTGTCATTTTTTTTTTGCTGTGCCATTTCTCAATGCAGTATGTGAACATGTGTGATTTACCAGTAATACTCATGTAACTACTGATTTAGATGGCAAAGCAAACTTGTGTATTGTTAGAGTATGGGATACTCTAGTTAAATCTAGGGTATTGTTATAATGTTGGGTTTATCACTTTATGCCATATGGCACCAAACACAAAATGAGACACAAGATGTAAGACGTTTATATTTACACAAGGAAAAATCAAAGTTTTTTATTAAAATTTTCACATTGAAGTTGGTGTTCCCTAACTTTTGGCCAAGAGTTTAATTTTACTGTAGAATGTCCATGGGCTATATAACTATTTGTGCAACAGTCACAAAGAAAAAACACAAATGTATGTCATGTTTAATGTGGAATTTTAACCTTTTCTGTGACATTGAATTTGATGCTATTCTAAAAACAATAATATAAGTTAGTCATAGATATATGTATTTGGGATCTTTCTTGAGGTTGAGTTAGTGTTTTAGATCTCATAGGTAGTAACTGTCTACCATTCAGAGTTTTTCTTCCACTTGCACAGGATTTAGGTAAAAAAAACAACATTTGATATGCTGTATCGAGACAGTGAATACACCAGATGTTTTAAACAATATACATTTGATAGCATTACATGCAGTTTTGAATTATATAATATGTGTATGGAAAGGTGCTTTTTGCTCATATGTCTTTAATTTGTACCTTTTTTTCTTCATCAGGAGGAGATGAATTTTGTACTTAATCTGATGATTATTTAGAGAGAGAAATGAAATTCTTTAAATTTGTGGTACAGTCGCAATATATTTAGGTACAAGAAAGTATATCAGAAGCAGAGTAAAAAGACTTACACCTGAATGTATTTTAAGAATTATGAGATATTTCAGCATCATTTAAACAGTTACAGTACAGTTAATTATATTTTTCATCTTCAGGCATGAAGACATATGTCCTGGATATAGACAATCACATAGTGTTCAAACAGGTACCAAAGGATCAAATGGATGCTAGGATCAGATGAGACTGACTTTTCAGTGAACTTTTGTAAAGGGGAGGACTGATCATCACAAGGATATGCTTGGCTTAATGTGCCTAGATTACAGGAAAATTTTCTATATAACACTGTATCTTTTAGTGTTTTATGTTTTGTAATTGGTTTAATATCACACATACCTTGTATGTTGGTATCAATTTCCCAAAACAAACTGCTCTGTAAAATGTGATATTTTATAATATATACAAGATATGTCCCTTAAATGTATGAACTAGAGTTATATGTCTATGTAAGATGTGATATTTTGCTTATGTATATCCAGCTGGAAATTTAACTGAAGCAGTGTATTAATTCGTATATCTGAAATATTAAAACAAGGAAATCCAGACAAAACACCTGTTTTGTGTTGTCATTTTTTGACTTGGACTTTGATTGTTGCATTTCCTCTTACAAAGTTTGTTTACAAGTGTAAAAATAGTGACAGAATACATCTCTTCATCTTTTATATTGATAACTTCAATTCTATGTTTTCCATCTCACCTATTGGTGGAAGAAAAAGAACAAGAAAATACCAACATGTCAACATCATCATAATCCAACCTCATATTCAATTCAACTAGGGCAAAACATAACAAAATAAAGATTTACATGGAGACTCCTGAGAGAGTACAAGGAGAATAAGACCAGGTGTTCCAGAAGAGTAAACATCTTTTGCTTTATTAATAACACCCACCATATAAACCTTAGTCAGTCTAAGTAAGTAATGTCACATTCTCAAATGAGGACAGCGAAACCAACAGGCAAACTAATGAGCCTCTAACATGCCCAGCTTCATATCACACAAAGAAATAAAATGTTTCTCAATGAGATCACAACAATGATCGTAAAACTTCAGCAAAATTTTTTATCAACCTGTATCATTTGATGCCCATTGCTACATGTTTGTTGTTTGATGGGAACATGCTCTTGCATATGAAATCAAATGTGGCATGCAAACACTATAGATTGGAGATGCAGGGATGTTACTATCCAGAAATGGAAGATTTACAACAGGGAAATTGAAACCATCACCATTTATCATACAGCTTGGTGGAAAGTTATCCATGTTTGTTTTATTTTAGGAAAAGATGAAGATAAGTGCCTGATGTGGAAGAGTCTGTCGTGACATGGTCAATAAATATTTTGTAATTTAAAGACAAGATATCAATATATCTGAAAGCGAACTTAGACAACTTTACAGAGTCTTTGCTACCTGTTTTTATAAGCTTCAATAAATACAGCCTCGTATGAAAACAAAAACAAGTCAGACAACAGAGGGGTACAGTTAGTTCCCATATGTATACCAATAGTCTGTTAGAAGATCTTGCAACCAAACTCAACCAAGATGTTGTCAACCAGAAACTCAAAACTATGATTTTAGTGTCCAACAGCCTGTTGGTTAAGTTTTTAAAGTTTCCAAACATGTTTAAGATTCAATTTAGCATATAAATGAAGGCTTTTAGGAATGTATTCTGGTCAACAAAGTGATCTCTGAGAAACGTCCATTTTATTTGTGTAATATGAAACTAGCTGTGCTTGATGCATGCGTGTGTGCTTTTGTTGTTATTATACTGATTCTCATTAATGTAGATAAGAAGATGCTTCTGTAATTCCTGGTTTTCTTTACCAAGAGTCTTATCGTGCTACAATGTAATCTTTCTTTTGTTTCCCAATAACCATTATTGTATCTACTTTGAGTTAATTTACTATTTTGTCAGGACTATGCTAAGTTATTTTTAGGCATGTCATTGCATGTAACCTGTGTAGGGCTTAGTGCTATAGAAGGAAATCTTTAAATAAAAGCTAAAAACTGCCATCAGATTTTGTCTAGATGAGGCATTTCCTTCAATGCTCAAAGCGACGCTCCATCAGAAATGATGTAATGGGATAATTTTTATTTATTTTTCCCATTTTATTTGCAGTTTCACTTGTTATTACTAGGTAATCCATTGAAAGAAAAAATATGGCCATTTTCCTGCTGCAATGTTTTCTTTGTTGACTCTACTTGGACCAGAAACAATGGTTTGTGTCTCCCTCACTTGATTATATGTACCCTGGAGGACATAACTGTGACAAACACAGCTACCAGTTTAGAATTTCATGTCAACAGGAGTTTGGGAGATACACAGCTTGCCCTACCCTATTTGACCCATTGGGCATATGATCTAGCTTTATCTGTACAATACCAAATAATGCAGGTGAAAAAGAATAGACACTTAATGAGTTTTTTCTTAATCTGGAACATATTGTCTGATTGGTGTTCTACTTTTGTAAAAACATCTGTTACATTTATTGACACTTTTAAGCAGAAATGAATGGTCAAAAGGGGCATGTTTTGTAACAGCCTGGATAATGATTAGTGATTATGATGTGATGATGTCCCACCCTTTATCAATCAAATGTTCCCATCTGTTTAGCTGTTCTATCTTAACAAAGTTTGATTTTCCTGTCTGACCTTATAGATTTTCACAAAATAGGCCCAAAGCAAAACTGAGGAGTTCATCTAGATGCATAAAACATCTGTATGGTGAAGTTTAATGGCCTAAACTCGTATCGCTCAAAAACGTGACTACTGTCTCAGAAATGTGTCCGTGAAAAAACACCTACTACATAGTCATGACCACAGGATTGATAAGTCCTAGCAGAGTTGTGATTGACTGAAAATTCCCATGGTCTCAATTTGGACACCAGAACTTTATGACTATAAATATTTTTTGACATCACCAGTGAACGATATACAGAGAAAAACTATCACATAGTCACATTCTTATGTTGGGTTAGTGAATGGCTGGTTTTACTAAGGGTTTTTTTTTTGTTTCTGTTTCATACTAGATGGTAAAACTCGTCAGGAAATTTTCATTCTACCTCAACGGTAAAAACATTCTTTTAAACTTGTTTCAAAGTTGTCCTTGAAATGGACATGTATATAAGGTCTTTTGAGTTGTTTTAAAACGTGTTACATTGTATGATATTGTCGTTTTCTATTCAATGATGATTGTACTAAAAAAAACTAATGTGCACATTTTTGTATTTGAAAGCATTAAAAGAATCATTTCCTTTAACATATAAACAAATCTAAAATGAAAATAAATTGTCATTTAATGAAAATATCCAATTTCTAAATAAGTGACTGCGAAAGGATAATATTTTTGGTGTCGCCTTTTATTTTCGTAAGATTGTATATATTAATTAAGGGACTGAAGACAGCACAAATTAAGGGATTAACGATTGTATAAATGAAGGGTTAGGGACTGTAGATTGTATGAATTTAGGGTTAGGGACTGTAGATTGTATGAATTTAGGGTTAGGGACTGTAGATTGTATGAATTTAGGGTTAGGGACTGTAGATTGTATAAATGAAGGGTTAGGGACTGTAGATTGTATGAATTTAGGGTTAGGGACTGTAGGGTTTAGGGACTGTAGATTGTATGAAATTTAGGGTTAGGGACTGTAGATTGTATGAATTTAGGGTTAGGGACTGTTGTATGAATTTAGTTATGTAATTTAGGGTTAGGGACTGTAGATTGTATGAATTTAGGGTTAGGGACTGTAGATTGTATGAATTTAGGGTTAGGGACTGTAGATTGTATGAATTTAGGGTTAGGGACTGTAGATTGTATGAATTTAGGGTTAGGGACTGTAGATTGTATGAATTTAGGGTTAGGGACTGTAGATTGTATGAATTTAGGGTTAGGGACTGTAGATTGTATGAATTTAGGGTTAGGGACTGTAGATTGTATGAATTTAGGGTTAGGGACTGTAGATTGTATGAATTTAGGGTTAGGGACTGTAGATTGTATGAATTTAGGGTTAGGGACTGTAGATTGTATGAATTTAGGGTTAGGGACTGTAGATTGTATGAATTTAGGGTTAGGGACTGTAGATTGTATGAATTTAGGGTTAGGGACTGTAGATTGTATGAATTTAGGGTTAGGGACTGTAGATTGTATTAAATAAAGGGACTGTAGATTGTATGAATTTAGGGTTAGGGACTGTAGATTGTATGAATTTAGAGTTAGGGACTGTAGATTGTATGAATTTAGAGTTAGGGACTGTAGATTGTATAAATGAAGGGTTAGGGACTGTAGATTGTATGAATTTAGGGTTAGGGACTGTAGATTGTATGAATTAAGGGTTAGGGACTGTAGATTGTATGAATTAAGGGTTAGGGACTGTAGATTGTATTAAATAAAGGGACTGAAGATTGTATGAATTTAGGGTTAGGGACTGTAGATTGTATTAAATAAAGGGACTGAAGATTGTATGAATTTAGGGTTAGGGACTGTAGATTGTATAAATGAAGGGTTAGGGACTGTAGATTGTATGAATTTAGGGTTAGGGACTGTAGATTGTATTAAATAAAGGGACTGAAGGTTGTATGAATTTAGAGTTAGGGACTGTAGATTGTATGAATTTAGGGTTAGGGACTGTAGATTGTATGAAATTAGGGACTGTAATTGTATAAATTGTATGGGTTAGGGACTGTAGATTGTATGAATTTAGATTGTATTAGGGACTTAGGGACTGTAGATTGTATGAATTTAGAGTTAGGGACTGTAGATTGTATGAATTTAGAGTTAGGGACTGTAGATTGTATGAATTTAGAGTTAGGGACTGTAGATTGTATGAATTTAGGGTTAGGGACTGTAGATTGTATAAATGAAGGGTTAGGGACTGTAGATTGTATAAATGAAGGGTTAGGGACTGTAGATTGTATAAATTTAGAGTTAGGGACTGTAGATTGTATAAATGAAGGGTTAGGGACTGTAGATTGTATAAATTTAGGGTTAGGGACTGTAGATTGTATAAATTAGGGTTAGGGACTGTAGATTGTATGAATTTAGGGTTAGTGTAGATTGTATTAAATAAAGACTGTAGATTGTATGGGAATTGTAGAATTTAGGTTAGGGACTGTAGATTGTATGAATTTAGGGTTAGGGACTGTAGATTGTATGAATTTAAGGGTTAGGGACTGTAGATTGTATGAAGGGACTGTAGATTGTATGAATTTAGGGTTAGGGACTGTAGATTGTATGAATTTAGGGTTAGGGACTGTAGATTGTATGAATTTAGGGTTAGGGACTGTAGATTGTATGAATTTAAGAGTTAGGGACTGTAGATTGTATGAATGAAGATTGTATGAATTTAGGGTTAGGGACTGTAGATTGTATGAATCTGTAGATTGTATGAATTTAGGGTTAGGGACTGTAGATTGTATGAATTAAGGGTTAGGGACTGTAGATTGTATTAAATAAAGGGACTGAAGATTGTATGAATTTAGGGTTAGGGACTGTAGATTGTATGAATTTAGGGTTAGGGACTGTAGATTGTATGAATTTAGGGTTAGGGACTGT